TGAGCGCGGCGGGGGCGGAGAGCGAGGGGCCGGAGGAGGAGGGCAGCGAGGTGTCGGAGCTGCGACCGCGGGGCAGGGAGAAGGTCCGGAGGAGCGCGTCGAGGGACAGGCTGGATGATATCGTCCTGCTAACGAAGGATATACAGGAAGGGGACACTCTGAACGCCATCGCGCTTCAGTATTGCTGCTCGGTGAGTTCCCCGGAGCTTACTGCTTCCCCCCTCCTCCCGGGCGGGGAGGGCAGCCGGTGTCGGGCTGAGGCATGCCCCGGTGCCGGCCGGCGCTGCCTGCCAGTTAACCGGTCGGGTTAACGCGGCTGTTGCCGCCCGTGGGAAACGCCGTACGTGAAAAATGACGGCAGAGAGTTAGTGCGACAGCGCAGAGTATGCTGGAGTTCCAGTTCCGTCGGCTTTTTCACTTAACGCAAGCGTAAGAGAGAAATGTACGGTCTGGCTTGTGGCACAGTCTCTCAAAGTGTTCGTGTGACGGTAAAATCAAAGTGTATGCGTTACTGTAAAAGTCACGCCCGAGCATAGTCACACTAGACAAGCACACCCTTTGCTGTCCGTCCATGATGAGGACGGTATTGCTAGACCACCTTCAGGGTTTGTCTGAAGCCCTGATTCCATTAAGGGAGGGGAAAAATGCCACCAAACCTCACTGTAGTTTTCTTTTAAATTCTGCTGTGTTGCCTAAATATTTATCAGCATGAGCGCAGTGTACCCTAGGGAGCTCTCTGCCCACAGGCCCCAAGCATTCCCTTCTGGCGCTCAGGCCTTCCTACTTCTAGCTAAGAGTTTTTAAATTAGTCTGGTGAATGTCCTTCCTACCCAGTACTTGCGGCTGGCTAGTACTCGTTAAGGCAGAGGTTTCTGTCTCGGTTCATATTAGCCTTTGTGTGTTTCCAGTTTTAACAGAAAATCAGCTGTGTGTGTTGGTGGACTGACTGCTAAATGTGCAGTTTTCCAGAGGTCAAATTTAGTCAAACACAAAATCCATACTAGCAGAAGTCATGTTGTCATCTGAATTCTTCAGGCAGAAACAGAGTTAGGGGCCTCCTGTAGTGAGCTTAGGTACCAAAGTCTTGATGTAATTGTTTAATAATCATTAACCATACCCTAGCCTCATTAACCAATTCTTGGCTTTGGAACCCACCATAGTTAGGTATTTTGAGCAGACTTACTAGATTAGGCCTCAAATAAAAACCGAAAGAGTTGCACTCTTTCTTGGAAATTTGTGGAGGACGTGGAAGTCCAGGGCTTTAGGCAGAGAGCGTAACTTGCACTGTGGTGGAATCACTAATTATTGGCGTAAATGCTGTGTTTGGCAGTCTGTTAGGCTCACCTGATTTATTCAGCGTAGTACAGGGAGAAAATACGCTGTCACAGGAACCGAAACACTTTCTCGTGTTACAAGGGTGGCGCAGGCGGTTGGCACTGCTCACCCTAACTAGTTGTTCTGGCCACGTCTGTGTTGTAGGTGGAGGAGTCACAGCAACAAGGGTCTGTTAACTACCTTGTTTTCTGTCTGTAACTTCTCCTGGGGCAGATGTCTTCCCGGTGAGGACAGGAAGGATCTGAACATCTTAAAATGGGCATGATTCCTATGTGCTTACCAGGGGTGGCAAAAAAAGTACTGATTTTTAAGTGCTTCATTATGGTACTGTCTGTGTCTGTGCCTTCCATGTTGAGGGAGTTACTGTCTCAAAATGAAGCTGCTAATTCTCCAAGGGCACTTAAATCCTTGCAGAGTATTTCATGTTAGACTTAAAATCTGAGTTTGCTGAGAGCAAAATGAGTCACTTTGAGCAAGAATAGGTAGAGGAGTGAGCTGACTTGTTGAGGGAGCTGAAAGGTTTTAAGTTATGCTTGGTTTCTGCTTTAGCCCCCAGAAGCAGGAGTCTGCAAACCACAGCTGTGGCTAGATGAATTGGAAGCTCATAATTTTTAACACTACTTAGTCGGAAGTTTTCAGTTTAATTAATAACTCACTTCCTTTGGAAACACTGAGGTAAAGCCCCATTCATTTCACAGAGATAGTTGCCACTAATACACGAATATACGTTAAGTGAGTATACATGTGTGAAGTGACTTTCAGTCTTCTTCACTCAAGTGAGGAGCTTTGTTACCTTGTAATTACCTTCTCACTTTAACATTGTTCAGATTTGGTCTTTGACCTCTTCTCACTTTATACTGTTTGAATGGGTATCGGTTTAAAAAAAGAAGTAGCAAAACAAAACAGAGGACCTGCCTTTTTTTCATCAAGGATGTAGTGTGTTTCTCAAGGATGTAGTACGAGTTCCAGTTCAATGGGGCTTTGGTACTTAAACTGTTGTTTTTATTTTTAGGTTGCAGATATCAAGAGGGTTAACAATCTTATCAATGATCAAGATTTTTTTGCCCTGAGATCTATCAGAATTCCAGTGAAAAAGTTCAGTGTATTGACCGAAACACATGTCTCTCCGAAAGGAAGACCAGTCCTTCGGCCTGCTCACTGTTCCTCAGAAGTGCAGGAAACGTCACCTTCTGATAAATTCTCTGCTAACGAGACTGCTGGCAACTTCTTAAAAGAAGTGGATCGAGATATAGAAGAAATAGTGAAATGTAATGACACAAAGAGGGAGAATCTTAATGAAGTTGTTTCTGCCTTAGCAGCCCAACAGATCTGTTTCGAAACCGATGGTAAAACTAAAAAATGCAAGGATCCATACTATGGAGCAGACTGGGGTATGGGATGGTGGACAGCCGTAGTGATTATGTTGATTATTGGCATAGTAACTCCAGTTTTTTATCTCCTGTATTATGAAGTTCTAGTGAAAGCAGATGTCAGTCACCATTCTACAATGGAATCTTCCCATTTGTTTGTCACAGCAGCATCACATCAGAAACCAATAGAAAATGGAATAAATCCAGCAAATATTATAAATGTTGATAATCAAGGAGACCTTCAGCCTTAACAACGGCAAACCCCAGGCAACTGTTATTCATAGACACATAGCACAGCATTAGATAAAGGAGAAACCACAGAATGCAAAATGCATCTGGAATGCAGAGAAAATGCACCTCAATGTGTGACTTGCCTTTATGGGCCGTGTTCCAGTACAATGATATTTCTGTGGATCCTGTAGTCTCTGACTATGCCCGAGACAGGTGATTTTAATGCAAGATTGGGATATAAATTAAGGTATAAAATAGTCTCTGAAGCGTTGCACTTTTTTGTATTTTGATAGGCATATGTTTCTTAATTAAAGCTGAGGTGAAAAAATGTAGTTTGAACTAACACTTGAGGAGTCTCACTGTATGTTTTACAGCCCTAAAATGGGCATTTGGGGATATCTAACTTTGAAACATCTTCAAGTATTTATAGAACGCGTAGTACACTTGACGTTTTAATACCAGGTTTACAGTTGTCAGTTAAAACTGCATTCTCATAATTGCATCTTTCTTATAGAGTAAGGTGTTTTCTTAAAATCCACATCATTCCACAATTAATTGCCACTATATGAAGTTCTTTTTTAAAAGTGACTTTTATAGAGGCAGTACCTAATACTTAAGCTGGAATGTTCGAACCTTGTGCCTGTGGTCCACCCATTCAGTATAGGCAGTAGGATAATTTGTTTTCAATGTGGGTGGCACTGTGCCTCAACATGGTTGAGAGAGTTGTGCTGAAACTCCACATCCTTCCATGGTATCCTGCAGAAAATGGACTGGACTGGGCGGCGCTCCTCATCTGTGTATAGAACGGAAGAAGTGCGGAAGAAGTAGTCACCTTGCTGTGACTACTTTAGTGGTCTTCATGCTGATGGATTCCCCTGCCCTAGTTAATGTCTGTTTGGGATCAGCCAGTTCTTCAGACAGCAGTCATGTGCGTACCCAGTATGCTAACGGTCATGTGCCCATGAACCTCAAACGCTAATTTTCTCTTGAAATCTAGAAAACTTCAAATGAGATTTAATGGCTGCTAACAAGAAACTTAAATTGCAGCAGACTAGAGCAGTTCCAGCTTCAGACTTGTTCTTTACCTGTAGCGCATTCATCAACCAGTCTGTTCTTGAATGTTTCACTTGGGGTTTCATGAACAACCTATTTTTCCTCTCTTATTTTCCCTACCTGAAAATGCTACAAGATAAACAAAAAAACCTCCCTGCACTCTTCCTACGGAAAGAAGGAGGTACTTGTGTACTCAGAATATTTTTAAATAAAAACTGAGATGCTGCCTATAGTTTTTTTGTTCTATTTGCCTTGTGGAGCAAGATTTCCATTGCCTTGTTCAAAGTATCATTTGTTACCAAAGCCCAACATAACTGACTGGAGTAGGACTTACTTACAAAGAGAGAAATGGAAAAACAATCGCTGTCCTTTAAACTACTATTTATTATAAGCTGTCCTTTGAGTCTCTTGACTAAGTATGTACAGTATAAAAAAAATCTGATCAAGTGAACGTTTCCTCACTGTTGGCGGTATTCCAAAGTGCTTTAACAAATTTTGAAAGCAGAGACTCGCGACCTGTCCTTGGGGCATCTCATACCTCAAGAAGAGGGGCAGTGCTTTTCACTGCCATGCCAAGTGTGTGAATGTGAATTGGATGACTTTTAATATGTTGTACTGAAATTGAAGCAGGCCAGATCTTGACAGGAAATGCTGTACCGTGGATCTGTGAATTACGGCCTGTGGCCCTTGAACCCTTTGACCAAAGTGGAATCTGTGGAGACAGTGAGACTACTCATAGTTCCCACACTAGAAGGATTGCAAAGAGGTGTGAACTTCATGTTTCACGTAACACTTGTTTTCAAAGGTGTTTTAAAATAATAGTTCTTTCAATGTGAAAAGAATATGCCAGTAACACAAGCATGATTACTGAATTACCAGTTCTGGGTAAGGCTGTAGGAAAAACTGCACTGCAAAACAATTTGTGGTGGCTAACGTGATACAGCTGCTGTGGCTAACGTTTTAGAAGGTGACTTGCTCTAGTCCAGAGCTTTGGCACATTAAGACCAATCTTTTCTATGTAGGACTGAGACTCGGTACGTCATGGGTCAGTTTTTTGCTGCAAGCTTATTTGCTGGTTTGTTCCTTTCCCCTGCGTTCTGTTTCTGAAACTTCAATGTTTTAAATACTTTGTCCTTCCATTTCTTACAAAGTTGTCACAGTGCACAAAGTTAGCTGTTGTGATGACGCAGTGTAAGCCTAATTTACTGCACGTACCTGAGCTGATGGGCATGAAATTGCCATCGGTGTAGAAGTGACCTTAACTTCAGCTGTGGTTTGACTCGGTCAGGAAGGGCTCTAACCTGCCGATCTACCAGTAAAGAGTTCGGTTGTTAACTGTTGCTTTTCACCCCATAGTGGTGTGGCTGAACAGTTCTGTGGCGTATCTCAGGCTCTGGGCTTTTTCACAGTGGTGGAAGACCTGCAGCCTGTTGTCCCTGAGCTCGGTGTGATAGCCCTTAGGATAAGCAGTCATTAGGACAACAGACAAGGATAGCTCTTTTGTTGGACCGCATATCGCTCTAACCAACAGCCTATCATGTTCTTACTATTTTATGATGTAGCGTATTTTTAATTTAGAGAGTTAACTTTATCAGAAGATACAGCAGGTCTCGGATTTCCGAGATTGTAGGACTCCCGGTACTGGTCATTACAAGCATGGGCTGGCTTGGCTTTCTGCAGGAGGCAGGGACCTTGACTGGTTTTTCCAAGGTATAACACAACAACCAGTGCATCATCACTAGTCAGGGTAACCGCTCTGTACGGAACTTAAATCTGATTTAAGTTAAAATCTGCAAAGATACTCTTTTAGAAACTGACTTGTTTAAAAAAACCAAACCAAAACAAAAAAACAACTGAGTGGTAAATCGTGTTTTAGATTAATTACAACACATTGTTGATTGGGAAGTTAGTTTTAAATTTAAGTGCACATTGCACTGTTGGATCATGTAAAATGGAAATGCTTTAAATCTGCTATATTTTGGAGTATGTTGTCACAAATAGTCTTTGTATAACTATTTGATAAAGGCTGAAAATATAACTTTGTAAAATTCTGAATGAGGATGCAAGTCTTATTTTAAATACTTATGCTCCTCTGCTTTTAGAAGAACGTATGCGTAAAATAAAGATTTTGGTTTAGACTGCAGTGAAAAGTGGTGCATACGTGTGTTCTTAGCTCTGTATACTTTGTATGTTCTATTACAGGAGGCCACTACCTGTATTTGTGTTGGCTAGCTTTTATGTCTGACCTAAAATAAAAATCCTTGGCCAACAAGTACTTTGTTGGCAGTAGCTGGGTATAGTATTCACATCTAGCATACCCTAACTGGAGCCTTAATGCTTTATCCTGTGCATGCCTTGTAGAGCTTGGAACTTTTCTGCCTAAAGTTCTGGGAATTTGTTAGTTCTCCGAAATGAGGATTAAGAAATAGGTATGAAACATTAAGGTAGGGATCAGTGGAGTTCTTAGATGGTGATCTCCCTACACACTGAAAGAAGTGCCACCTTGTATGAAGTAGCAATGTTCTTCTGCCATGCTATTAAGGTAGGATTTGAATACGTACGGGGCCTGTCCAGACCCAAGGAACGGCTTAAGTTTTATCAGCGTTACGGTCTTGCAATAAATTCTAAGCAATTGGAAAATCAGCTTATAAAAACAGCTGCAAGCATTAACACCTCTGGAACAGCACAGTCTCCTTTCATTTCAGAAGTGCCTTGGCACAGAGCTGTGTCATTGCAGAACTCAGCATGTTCCTAAGTGTTGGCCTTATTTGCCATTTTTGAACTACTCCTGGACAGTCCATCCTAAGACTTTGCGGTTCCCTCTGGGGGACAGAGGTGACCACAGTTCACCTTTTAAAGCTCTCAAGAAGACCCAGTTTCTGCCAGAGTAATATTTCTCAACAGTACAGCAGGGAGGGAATTGTCTCTCCCATTAGCAGTATGACAAGCGAAGAAAAGTCATGAGTCCTCAAGAGTTAGTGTCTGCTACAAAGTGAGGTATTGTACCTGTTCAGGCAAGCCACAGCTTGCGGCCAAACTGTAACGCGTGCAGTAATGCTTTTCCAGTGTCAGCTCTCTAGTTCGGTCTTTGGCAAAAGCCAGCTACTCATGTTCCTTGTGTGAGAGGCAAGGAGTCTCACTGTTGACCTTGCAGAGGGGGGAACAGCTAGTAGAAAACAATAGTAGTGACACCCGAGGCAAGCAAATTTAATTTTCAACATGCTGACCTTGTTCACAACGTCTTCTGTCTCTCTCTGGTGTATCACGTGAAAGAAACAGGCACGGCTGTGCAAGGAACAACTGCTGGCATGTGTGATGTGAGGAGAAAATGAACAGACAGATCCCATTTCCCATGCAGTGCAGCAGAATGTTTATTAAACGTCATGTGTATAGGTATGAACACTTCAAAATAAAACTGGTGTACCTCTGAGGTGTGACCTGCATGGCATTTTAGCTTTGTTTCCTTTACATCTCACACATATTTTATCAGAACACTAGAAAGCTACACCTTCAGGAACAAATCCTTATTGCATACAGAAGTTCACAGAATAAGGTGGTACTTTTTCCCAGTCACTGCTGAAGTAAAGTACTGCTTGACAGAATGCTAAATTTGAAAGGAAAGCTACTGTAGTTTCCTTTGCGGACAAAATACTTGCTTTTATTTGAAAACCTCTCTTTCATGAGACCTGATAACAGCACTAGTCATCAGGAACAGAACGTTTTAAGAAAGTAAAAAAAAAAAGCCACCCACCCACCCCAATCAATAGTAACATAATAACACTGACCAATAATATTTTGTACCATCAAAGGACAATTGGACACAGAGAACACTCTGTCACTGTGTTTTTCAGGTATCTGATCTCAGGAGTAAGTTTTCTACACTTCAGCTGTTGGTTCTTAAATAAAATTGAATTTCCAAACATTCTGGTTTTGCTATTCTCAGCATTTTTCTCTTGTTTTCCTAACTAAAACCTCACGCATCAAAATACTCCACCACATTCTTTTCCTACTTTTTTTTTTTTATATTGGTTTGCTCTCTGTTAAGTTTCTGTCTTGTTTGTGCTGTACGAAAGTAAATAAATGCAATTAACAGTTCCCATAGATAGCTATCTGCCTTCTCACTGAACAGCTCTGTGGGGTAAGAAAGTATTGCCTTGAGAGGCGGAGAAACTGAGCTGAAGGACTGAAATCCCCATCATTAATCTTTGTACCACTGGTGAAAACCAGGATTCCGTAATTTCTCAATCTTATATTCTGCCATGTATTTGTTCTAAATGAAATTGCCCTTAATTATGACTTATGCTGATTCATAAAGGTAATATAAGACATTGTTAAATATTACAGTCCCTTTTTACTAAAATACTAAAAATAATGTGTTCTTTTAACTAGAATAATAGCTTTTCAAAATACTCTCATTATGGTTTTTAGTCACATTACTGAGGTCCTTTCAAGTCAGTTTATATTAAAGTGCTTAGTTGTCCATTATTTTCAGTCACCTGAATTGAGAAGTTACATAAATTCCTCCAGAGAAGTCTGCTGCCAGATACGAGCAGCTTAGGTCCATAAAGGCCGCATCTCTTTTTTGCTGCAGTCATCAAGAATTTCACTATTATTTTCAAGACTTGACTGCTAAAGCATAGGACTAGTGCAAATGCTTAGGCACAATTTTGATTAAAATGCATACATTCTTGTTCTGTGCAGAGGCAATACAATGGCATGTAGCTTACCCTGTCAGTAGGCATTCCAGAGAACCTTAAAAAGGCACGTGCCTGCAAAACATTTGGCAAAAGAACAACACAAAGGATCCCGTGTCCGGTTTTACAGCACAGTACAATTAGAAGAACTGTCCGGCGTGTTTTTCGGAGGATATACTCAAAACCAACAGAGCGAAAGCATTAGTTCTGTCGATATTCAGCCTACCTCCAGAATTCTGCTTCAAGTAGTGTAAGGCTTGAGCAGTGTGCCACCCAGCAGCAATAGCTAGTATGTTGCTTCATCCATATTGTCATCGCTGCCAGCACCAAAGTCATCTCCATCTTCAAAATATGAAGAAATGTAGTCATTTTCCTAAATAAAAGGAAAAACCAGCCGTCACTGTATCTGTGGAGGAAACAGTTGGTGAAAGAAACATGCTTTAAACTGCACTTGAAGCAGTAGCAGCAGTTAAATTTCTTGGGAAAGCAAAGGGAAATATTGGTATGAAGTTCTGTTATCTACAAAAGACGAGGCATCACTGCTGTAGTGATGAAAATGAGTAATAGTATATATTGATTGTGGCAGGACACATTCCCACTTGCAAGACCTTTTTTCAGAGAGACAATTCTAAAAGACCCACTCAGATGAACTACAACACAATGTAGAAACAAAACAAACTGACGTCATGACGCCTCTCACTACAGCTCTCCCTTGGCGTCAGAGAAGCTAGGGACATTTCTCCGTCTGACAGCCAACACGCTACTGAACGACTGGGATCTGACTTTGTGTACACAGAGGAGCTAACACGATACCTCTTCATGCTCTTCTTCATCATATTCCTCTGGTTCTTCTGCTTCTTCATCATCTTCACCTTCTTTGTCTTTTGTTTTGTCTTTCTCATCTTCAGATTTTTCTTCTTCGTCATCCTTCTTTTCCAACTCCTGTCACAAGGCAATCTCCTTTACAAGGCAATCCCATGTTACAGCCACAGTGTATCCTCCACACTACCAAAATGTTACGCTGCAGTTAACGGCACGACAACTGCCAAGTGTAACAATGCTGTGTGCAAATGTTTTTTGTCGATCTTTAAAACAACATGACATGAAGCACAAGAACTTCGTAAGGACTTACTTGACCAAGCAGTAGCCATCAGACTTGAAGCCTAAAAAACTATGTCTTGTGTAATAAATTGAGATGATGATTTCCCTTTACCGTCCACTGTTAGAACATCTGACAGCAGAAGGCCATGTCATACTTGATAAAGTAACACCACATGCTGTATACAGTAATGTATCTGCACCAAACAACCGATGGATCACCAAGAGAAAAAAATAAAAGGCTGTTTCCCCTTTAAGCTTCCCATTCCCACATGGTAGCAGCTTCCTTCAAAACCGAGGTCACTTTCCTCCTAAGTTTCTTTTTATGTATGTTTCTCCCCTCTCACTAAGCTGTCTCATTTCCAACATCAGTAGATCAGCAAAATAGCAATAGATTTAAAAGTTCTGGCACCAATTCCACCTTCAATAACAGTAGCTCTGCTGTTCACGGTTAAGGCTCCATCACTACCCAGTGAAGAACAACTGGTTGTTGTGTTCAGAGGGTCAAACAGCAGCAAAGGAAAGAGCTTCTGCAAAGCCAGGCTCCACCCTTATCCTCTCCTTGTGCTAACACGCTGCAGAACAGTTGTCTGTCAGAGTAACAAGACAAGGCCCGAGAAAGGCTGCTCTGGTTCTTCCATTTATACCAAAAAACATCCTAAAGGTTTGATTTTCCTTCAGCAATTTCTGTTGTACAATTTAGAAAGAGTATGCACATCTTACCTCAATTTTTTTCAATACATCCAGATTACTTTTAGGCTCAGAGCTTTTGGCCTTTTTTGGTTTTGCACCTGCTGAAATAAAATACATCACTATTATTTTTTTTTTAATATGGAAGAACACAAATTCTCTTGTTTTACAGGCTCTTAAGAGGTTACAGCTTTACGCCACAGAAATCCCAGACCATCTGTATTAAAACTACATTATGCTTCGAGCTACATCATTCATGGAGGTGTAAATGCCCGATTTAAGTGGTGCCTATAGGGCCAGTCTGAAAGTCACTTTGAACAGGCAGTTGACCAAAGGTCTGGCCAAAGCATGATGTTCAGCTTCATGAAATACTTTTCACCTAAATACTCACAATAGGTTAAGAAATGAGAACGAAATCTCAATTGTTATTTTTCATCACCCTGAAAAGACAAAAACTCATTAATGTTACTAATTTATGCAACACATTAATGACAGCTGAGTGCTTCAGGCAGACAGATAAAACAAGGCAGATTGCAGTTTACTAGCTCCAATGCAGTAGGTATAGTTACTGCAGCTAAATGGCTTCTGGGCCACAGTTGGCTTTCATCTAAGGAGTCCACAGTCCGTATTTCCACCTAGTGCCTTGATTCATGAACACAATTTCCATCAAGCTACTCCCTGCAATCCAACCTCATTACGCTACGTAACTATACAGTGGAGCGAAGGTCAAAAATAGCATTGTGTACACCCAGGCAAGAGCTACCTGAATGGCAGCACCCTAAACTAAGGTTGCCCCGATTGCAGGAGTGCAGTTTGACCAGCAGATGAGGAGAATCAAAGAGCTCTGAATCGAAAGATGTTACAGCATTTAGAAAGCTCTGTGAGACGCCCGGTTTTCACAATGTAACTGTCTTTTGTCTCCCCTGCTGTATTCAACACGATCACATAAAACTTAAAACACAGGGGTGCACTGAACACAGACCAGCTCTTCTCAGCAGGGTCTAACAGCCTGTGACGGGCCACTGTGGTGTAGCTACACAGCTTCTGAGGGACAAGGCAGCTTCAGACAAGACAGCCTGTGCAACCTGCACCTTTCTTACACTGGGCTGCATGAAGTGGTATCAGAAAGAAAAACAGTGCACACTGATGGAGGGGATATTCTTTCTGGAGCAGACAGTAACTCAGCACAGTTATGTATTTTATCTGGCCTAATACTTAAGAAAGCAGAACTCTTAAGAGCTGCTAAAAAGACAACTGTATTTTGTCAAAACCATTTGTCTAAAGCAACATTTATGTCATTTCAGTGTTTTGCCTAGGAAAGGTTATGTGACAAAAGCACTGCACAAGGAGCCAAGCTGCTCTGTGACAACATGAACAGCATCACAGCAAACACACCCAGAATGAAGTAGGCTTTTAAGGAAAACAAGCAGAAAGTGTGACTCAAAATTATTATCTCTGCAGAAACCCCTGCAGGCTTCTAGAGATAATGCCTATAGAACAAACAGCCTGGAAATAAAACCAGATAAGCAAGATCTTTCCTTAAGTGCTGGGCATCTCTGGAGCTTATCATAACGTTAGAGACACCGACTCATCATTACAGAACGTCAAGCAAAAGCTCCTTACACCCATGTAGCTTAGAGGTGCAACGGAACACGATCTAATCTTTGCAAATACCTGTTCTGGCAGTACTTGGGCTTAAATGCATACATCTGATTGCTACACATATGCATACAGCTGGCCTACAAGAGCTGAATGCAGCCAACGCTGCTTTTTTTTTTTTTTTTTTTTTTTTAATTTCGGCAGGCACTGCTGTTATCTGGGACTCCGTGGTCTGCAGCCCAGGGTAAGCATGGGAGAGATGAATTCTGCCCCAAGTTTTGTCACCAAGAAGGCAGGCGGTCAGGTCTTAGAGAAACCAGAAAGGGTGAGGGAGAGGCGTGTGCAAATGGAGCCGTCCCTGTACATGTCACTGCATAGTGATCCCAATACTGCTCCCAATACCAATCTACAAAGGTAGAATGGTAGGAAGCCTGAATTTCAGTTGACTCCCTCACCTCTTGATTGACTTGACTCCCTCACCTTTCTTCCACTTGGTTATAAAGTGTCACCTAAGATGGCTGTCCTCAAAATACCACACAAGATATGTACCAGAAGGGCTAATCAGCTGATTAGTGTCACTGATCAGCTATTTACCATCCTCCTGAGTCATATGACTTTTGTACTGCCTCTGCATCATCCGGATTCCCCAAAAATACCCTAAAACCATGCGACTTTTGCTTTCAGAGGAACATATTTTTTTATCCAATCAAATTCTCATGGTCAGCTACTCTTTACCATTACAATTATGTTAGAAAGTATACTTTTAAGAGCAAATAGAGAAACTGGCACAAAAGAAAGAGCAAAAATCCCCCACAGTGAGCAGTGATTCTCTCTTTATGACAATTGCATTACTGTAACAAGGAATAATAAATTGGCATTTATGATTTCATTTGATCTTGGGGAGCTAATCATTGTGTATAGGCTTATAAAAGCCAGTGCAGTTTCTTCTTTTGGAAAAAAAAAAAAAAAAAAAAAAAAGCTGCTCCAGTAGGCTGCTTCATCTTTAGAGATTTTGCAAGTAAGTATTTAATTTTCAGTTGAATCTTGCAGTCTACCTTTAGTACCATGTTTCTCAATGACGCTCGTAAAATGAACAAAGGTTCCAGCTGAGCTAGTCTCCATGACTACTGCATATTCCCTTTTCTTTTTCTATTTTATCCTTGAACTGAAAAATGACACATGAAGGACTCAGGCAAAGAGAACAAGAAAGTAAACAATTATATGTAACACACAGCTAGATACAGGAGGCCAAGTGTCATTTCACATCAACAGAGCAACAGACTTCTACAGAGAACTTAACAGTCATGCATACTACAAAACACTTTGAAAAACAAGTACACATATGATGCTGTGTAATAAAAAAGTTTTTTCCTGTAAGAACAACCAATACCAGCTCCAACTGCTGTTGAAGGATCTGGTTCACAATTCTGCAGAAGAAAGCTGAAAATAAACAAAAAAAGTAAAACCAGGGAAAATAGAAAACAACCTACATTAAATCACATAGAAAAGGCTTAAAAAAACCCCGCAGAAGTCAACCAAATCATAAACAAGATAACTGAGAAACCCAAAATCGAAAGGAAATCTGACCAGCCAGCTATTCACCGAATAGAAGGGCGAGTGTTGACTAAAGACACAAACTTCCAAAACAAAAAGTTCTGTGGTTTTTTTAATCTTTCATCATTATGTATCTCATATGTTAATATGCCACATCAACGTGAAAGGCAGGAAAGGAAGATAAATCTGTTCCAGTAGGTTAAAACATCCTACAGAAGCAAAGCAAAAACCACAAAAGACAGGCAGGCTAGTAAATTATTTAGAAAAAACCTGCCAAAAGTCCTGATTATTCAGACTAGTTAACATTTCTACCATTTATTTTTTTCCCTAACCAGCTCCAGTATGTCTTCTATCACACAACTAGTGTATACTAAATACTTCTTAAAAAAATATGCAATATACCTTTCTTGGTCTTTTTCTTTGGCTTCATCTCTCTTGGGAGTCTCCTCCAATCTGTACAGAAAATAGCCTTAACATCTATGAATGATGATTTACAGCAGTAAGCCTCCCCCTGCCACCCACCAAGGAAAGGTTGGGGCCCCTGTTCTGCTTGGTCCTATTTACATGCACACCCAAGTGCTTTAGCACATAAGAGTTTTACGGTACTTTAAATGAAAGAACTAGAGTGAGGACTGGCATTTCACCCACTTCGTGCAACTGGCATCTGCCCCAGAGAGACAAAGTTCAGCCCTTTCAGTGACCCACGTGCCCTTCAATTTACATTCTATAATTAAGTTTGCAGTAGTGAGCTATATGGCTGTGGAAGTTTAATGTTATAAGCCCAGCTACCTGTGACTGAGACATCAGGTTGGGTTATTTTTAGTGACACCAGTGATTGCTCCCAGTTCAAAACTGGCATCTGCATGGTTAGTAAGGAAGAAGGAAAGCCAGAGTGAGAGCTAAGGCTTGCATTTTTGCTGCAGATCAGTTGTTTCAACTGAGTAAATAAATAAAATCAGATTTTTTTCCCTTTTTTTTTTGGAGAAAACAATACTTTGCCTTGATCCGAAAACATGCAAAGGGCATAACCCTCAACAAGGAATATGTGACTTGGTAAGGATTTGCATAGTTTTTTATTGCTTGAAAAATAATGAATCAAACATTTAAAAGAGCAGAACATTTCATAGGTTAATAAAGAATTAGCCTTTGATAATCTCAGGTATTACCTGGGGTCCATGTTGCATGCTCCTTTTCACTGTCCTGGTACTTTTTACTGTATCTCTCAATTGCTATAGAGAAGGATACAAAGTGTAATTGAATTGAATTAATTAAAAAGGCAATCCAGACACTCTCCTTGATATTTTCCTGTAACTAAACATGCAATGTATTTTTTTTAATCCCACACTGAACACTTTCTTGTGCTGTTGACAAACACTTAAAAAAACAGTTTAACATCACTACTTTGAGCAGTTCTCATGATAATTCCCAGGCCTATTAATTTGCTAAGTACTTGCAAGATCTGGATTTTATAGCCCTCAAAAAAACCCTGCAAAACCCCCAAATATTGCTTTGCATTTTTGGGGTATCTCCTTTCAATCAAAACACTCCCCCACCAAAAAGACACAAACAAAAGAAACCTCCAAAATTATTATAATTTATACTTCTATCCCTGGAAAGCAGGAAAACATAAAATGCAGACACAGTCAGGGAAACTAGGCTGAAACTTCAAATGAACGCTAACTCTTCTACTATTCAAGACTTTCACAATCAAACCTTTGCTGCAAAACCAATCACTAACATTCATCACCACCATGCTAATCATAAAAAGTAGCCAGAATTCCCAGGTCTCAGAAAGCCACATCTCATCCCAAGACTTTAAGCACTTCTGCAATGGCAAAGCTTTGCAGCGTAACAGAGATGTGTCCCGAACAGCAGCCACACACTTTAGTCCATTTAACCTTCTTCCAGGCACAAGAACTAAACTGAGAAATACATTGTAAATAATACAGTAGTTACCCAGTGTAAGTACATCCAAAATGTACTGCAAAAAAAGCTTTCTTGTACAATATCCAATGACAAAAGCAGTATCAAAACTTAAGTGTTTTTAAATCAATCCCGTGTTTTCTTACCAAGTTACCATGCCCAACTGCAAAATCCGCTTAATGCAAAATTACTGATTCTGATTGCACTAATTACTCATCACCCTAACAGGGATATTTTTGTGGGTATTATACAAAAAATGGTAACAAAGACAGACTGTGACCTTTGCAGTCAAAGACTTATAACATACTCAACAGAGAAAAGGAAGGGAGAAGGAAGAGATCAGAAATGAAGCTCAGTTTTGATGAGGGCAAGCAGAAGACCTATTTACAACCGTGGAATGAAGAGCTTGCATTTAAAATGCCAATGTCTCAAGCGTCATTTAACGTAGGTAGCCCTCACAGATGCTGTGGAAAACAGCACAGAGAGGGAAAGAAACCAGTAGTTTTGATTTCAACTTGAGGCTCTGTAGTGAAGAATAGCTGATGGCATCTAAAACATTAGGTCTGACTGATTCTTGCCATTCACGGCTAATGAATGAATGCCAAACCACTGCCAAGGTGACAGCCACCCAGTCATAGCAGATATACCTACAGGAAAAATATGAACGTTTCACAGCTTATGAGGTGAGGAAAATAGAGAACTTACTATAGAATATGGCTGCTACTCACTCAAAATGAGTGTTGAAATGAATGATGAAAATCTGGTCTATATGGCACACTAATGCATCAAATTTGCCAGGCAGTATTGGACATGGCTTTCATTTACCACCTGAATAACGAAAGAAAGATGGCTAGCTACGTCCTAACTAATTAAAATGCTTCCCTTCTCACACTTCAAAGGACCATTTGGCTCACAGATGTGTTGAGGGTTTAAAACAATCCATTTGCTCTTGCAGCAAAGCCAATTTAAGAAGATCCTGCCCACAGCCCCCCTCTAGCCTCTCTCTTAGCCCTACCAGATGTTTTGATGAAATACAGGGGAGCAAGGGGCTGTAAACCAAGTAACGGAAAAGATCAGTTACAAATAATCTGTCCTGGGGGAAGAAAGTGATTTTCTTAAAGCTAGGCCACTTCTGACACACAATGCAGTCCCAGAGACAATTGCACACGGTGACTGAGACGAAAGCAAGCTTTTTAAGCTGCAGAGCACTGATGATGTAATTATTTCCCACCCCTCAGACAAGACATTTTTGTACATCTGAAATGTTCAGTAAAAGGTTACTTCAACTTACCAACTTACCCCTGGGGAGATGATGAGACCATTTGAAGTATTACGTGAGTCTATCAAGTAGCTGTCTACCTGCTTTCCCTGCAACTGCCAGTTTTTGTAGTAAAAAAGTCTTCAAAGCTGACAGTTTTACTAAGGAGCACACTCAGCAACAGAGAGAGTTGACCCCATCCCAGAAAGAAGGCTGTAGAAACAAAGATGATTTTGAGGTGAAGAGTAAGCACAATCACATGAGGCAAAGCTGGAAAAGAGAGATAGTATGTTCTCATAAAGTGTCTGGTTCCTTGGAAATAACTCTGACCAGCTCTCAGGCACTGCAGTTTCCTTTTTTGTGCCTCACACAGAAATAGTGAACTTCAAGCCTGACAAAGATCAAGAGCACAGCAAGCCTCTAGCGAGATGAGAAGCCAGAGATTGAAATTTGTTTACTCAGAAGATGAAAGTGTACACGTGATAGAAGAGTAACTTGGAATTCTTCTACCATCATAAAGGGATCTAGAAATGAAGATCAGATCTGTTCTCCTCGCCTCACAACCAAGGTTTTACCTGGCCGCACCATCAGGGTCCACCCTGGGCCGTGCTTGTGCTGCACTACAGCTGCCTGCTGCATCCCGGTGGCTGCTGGGCTCCAGCTGCAGGTCAGAGGAAATATTCTGCCTTTTGTGAGGCACAACGTCTGGTCGACAGTGTGTTCACTGCTCACACTGCAGAGTGCTGCTCCATTTTAAACAGCGCTTTAGTACAAGTGGACAATTGCAAAGTAAGGTGTGTTAATCACTGGTACATTCAAAGCCTAATAAAAACAAATTGCACGCAGTCTCAAAAAACCTCTAGAATTCATCATGACACCACGAACAAAAATTATCAAAAATTCAGAGGGGACTGGACTGTGTACTTGCATGGTATCAGCGTCATGAATATTCAGGCAGAAAATACTCTGATGGTTTTGGGGTAGAAATTAAACTTCATGTTTCAGAGTTCAAGTCAGCTCTCATTCAAAATCAGCACAAGACAGCAAGGAAAAGATTATCCAGTATTTGGCCACTTTGGATTTCTTAAACATCTTTATAAAGCTTTTTAGTGACTGCCTGTTGTGCCGATGGGGCCTAGGGTCCGACACATGCGGCATTTCCTAATACGCTGCATTTCCTATCTTCCTGTACCAGCACTTGCCATTTATACCACTCCGAACAAGCACTCCAGAGGATGACAGAACTAGCCAAAAATCACAGACGAAAAGAAGCACTCCTCACAGTAATAACCTCTTCTGACTGCTAGATTTACAGCAACCCACAGCAAAGTAAACACACATTAAAGTCTTCCTACCCTGCCCCGCTTTCCTTCTTTCCCACTAGCTCAGTTTTCTGCCCAGGAAGCTTGGGTTTTAACACTAGAATGATGTATGACTGGATGTCAAGTACAGCAGAGTGTTTATTGTTATCAAACAATAACAAAAAGCGGTTCATTTTTAATCACATAAAAGCTAAAGACATTCTTAGGTCAAACAGAGTAAGAACAAGCTTTGGCTTCTAATCCAGCTCTACTTCTGATGCAGAACATCACTTATCCTCATCTCAGTCTTCGTATTTCAGGTGACTCGTCACTTATACTTACTGATCTTTCCTGAACAGACTTAGGGGAAAAAAAAATTAGTACCTTCTAGAATGCCCAGCTATTAAACATAACATTGATTATTTCCAGTATGTCTTTACACAATTAAAACAGAAGCTGAATTTCAACACTAGTATTAACTACAGATTTCTTTGCTCCAATGCAAAATTTTTAGGGTACTTTACCATGTAGAAGTGCCTGTTTCGCTTGTATTGGTCAGCATATAATTGAACAGATTGCATATAGTTGGCCTACATGTTTCTGACTGTATATCAAATGGAACAGATGTTTGGTACCTCTCTTTTTCACACAGCAGTTGCTTTCCAGTTACAGCACTTGAGGGTGTGACCTACAACTTCAGTATCCGTAAAAGCAGAAAAATTCCTGATTATCTTAAACTGCCAATTTTTATTCCTCATTTTCAGTACAAAATACAGCTTCAACACATGCATTTCACTACTTGACTTTTCACAGAATAACTACTGAAGATATAAATTTAAAAAAAAAAAAGCACACAAACAAACCTTCACGATCTTCTTCTACTGCCAAAAAATAGGGCGTTTTTTTCATAGTTCCTCTAAGATCTTGTTTTAAGGCCAACATGTAATCTTCATCTTCTCCTGTTTTCAGAGGCACTGGCTTATTGTCTGTACTCTGTACAAATTATGTTTATTATTTATAAGGTCTTAAGATCCATCAAATATACAGGAAAACTAACAAAAGCCACAATAAACACAGCTAATCACAGAAGAGTGCAACTATGCATTACGCTACTTCACAAGTATACTTTACTGCATTCTGACATGCATAACTGTTTACAACTGAATTTATACCTTCTATGACTTCACTGTATTGCCCTGCAAAAATGTATCAAGAAACCAAGAGAAAAAAGTATTAAAACTGTGAAACAGTCATTCATAGTCATGCTCAGCTCTTAAACGCCAAAAGCAGTTTTTCACACCACCCAAACTTACTCAGAAACCATTGCTGCTCCCTTCAGTCAGAGCAGTGATGGCCTTAACTCCTGCTAAAACAATGTTTTAACTACATTAAGTACGATTACTCTGAATAATATGGACACCTTTTCCATGACTACTGTCACGGAAACAGGTTGTGTTGTCATACAATCAGGTAGCACACAGGCCCTCATGCCATTAATTTTCTGTCAGGTGAATTGTTAAGGTTTTGATTTTGGGGGGCTTTTTTCAACTATTATCTTTGAAACTGCGAAAGATAAATAAGCAAAAACAGTTTCAAAAATACACAGAAGAGCACAGCCAGAGACAGAATTACAGAATAGATGTTGTTCCTCTCACACGACAGATGGTCCACAATCGATACCTGAGCAGCAGGCTGCAAAGCACGAAATGCTACCACAAGTCCAAGAGATGGATCATGGAAGGAGTTTACTGCTTCCAGCTGTATTTGCTGGCTGGCCAACATTTTAAATAACTAATGCTGCTGACTGTAAGCTGAAGCTCCTTAACTGAGTTTCTAATTGCACTTACAGGAAATTCATAAGAACTCAGAACTGCCTATTAGAAATACACAATGGCAACAATTCACTGCTTAAAATAATTTCGCTGTAAGTCAGTTAATAGCTGTAACAGACTTCTGGTCACTGCCCACTCATTAAATCTAACTCTTGAAATTGTTGTCAATCGTAGTTACGCCACTGGGTTAACTTTGACATTTTTGAATGGCACTAATTTCCCCTGACAAGTTTAACTTTGTTTTGAAACTTTTTTTCACAGAAGGAAGAAAGCCACTTTAACTTCTCCATGGTATATTAGATACACCAGGGCTAGTAATTCTCCTACTAGGCTGATCCACTGCTGACTGTAACTGCAGAAGCTGTAGTTCACACAGAATTCAGCTTCCTTGTGCTATCAAGCAGACTGCAGTATTCGCATCAGGAACAGTTACAGATGGCTTAGTGTCACTGAAATCACACAATGAAATTGTAAAGGTGGACTAAGAGGATATGTAACATCGGGTTCAGCAGGTCAAAACCTCAGGTGGAAGAACTATTCAGAGAAATCTCAGCATACAACCAATTATACGTCAAACTTGCAAGTTCTGTATCACAACACGTGAGACTGAGAAAAATTTCATGCACCTTGACCAAATCCTGACATAAGTGCTCTTACATAAAACTGCAATACTGTGAGACTACTTCTCCTCCTCAAGATTGTCCAAGCTTCCCTGCATAGCAAAATGCAGTCAGAAAATGCTCTTTCTTCCCCTAATTTAATTCTCAAATACGTCCCAAATGCCAAATCTCAATTAAGTTTCCTAAATTACATAAAATATTTTCCAGTTATTTTCAAATTACTTTCAAACATTGGCTACTGAGGCAAAAGAAAATCATCCAAAATCTTTTAGGTTTGCATCAACAGTGAACTTCTAAAATCAGCAAATCCGTTCACAGCTTCAAAGAATACTGTAACTTCATTTTCAAACAAATTCAGCTATCCAACGTTTCAGTTACTACAATGTCCAGAAAACCAAATCATGATGAGGACTTTAACGAAATAACACTTTGCAAGCAACCCAGTTAAATTTGGGATATGACACTTAGCAAAGGGACAGGAAGTAACAACAAGAAAAATGATTATTTACATTAAATACTTCAAAACTGACCTAAAGTACTTAGGGTTCATGTATTTCATTACCCTGTCTGAACATGAGAGTGAGTACACTTCACCTGAACACAGACAGTGTGCCCTACGATACTTGCTGCACTTACAGGAAATGGTGGTGGTGGCTTACACATGACATCAGGTAGAGCTGCACCTTTAGCAAAGCCAATAGCCTCGATGTTGAAGGTAAACACAGCGCGTCCTCTTCCTCTACCTGACCCAGCCATTTGGAGTCACTGAAAATATTACAGATTTTTAAAGATTTATTTCTGTCACATATATCAGATGCATGTATGTATTACCTACGAAATTAATGTCTAGCAAAGATTACAGTAATTTTAAAACCAAAGATCATTTTAAATAGCAAGCCATCTGAATGCCCATCTTGGGTTCTTCCACATATTATAAATTTGATACATGCCTAAAATCAACTCCATTCCTTCATTTCTGCTAGCCACCTCTGCATGCCTGAAATTACCTCCTAACCCAGTAATTTTAAACTTTCTTCTTCTAAACCTTAGATGCACTGACTTGAGTTCAATCAGAGTAGAAGAACCAGGAACAAAGTGAGAAAAAAAAAAAAAAAACAAAGAAAAAAAAAAATTCAAGGACCCCAAACTTTCCGTGAATACATTTTGCAGCTTTTTTTTTTTTTCCCCCCAAAAAAAAACAGTTTGTGTTTGTCACTCATGGCTTCTTTGTCCTTCAGATTACTTTTTTCTTTATCTTTGTAACTAGTTCTGGGTACCGATAAAGAGCCAAAAGCAAAGAGGTTCCAAGTAAAAACATCAAAGGACTCCAGCATGTCTGCAAGCTAACTGCTGACAGAAGGAGGTTGTTTCCAACTGAAGTATTTCACCAAGGATATAAAAGTGAAATAACCTGCAAAACTGCATTTACAGTCATATCTCACCACCTTCACAGTCAGGCCAGTCTTCATCTCAGGACTGTATGACCCACGGGTTGGGCAAAATGTTAGAAACGCGCTTTTTTTCAGGGAAGCTGTCATGAAATGGGATGCAAGAGAAGCCTGGCTGAAGCAACGTGCTACTGCTGACTCCCCAAGACCGTTAATTGCAAGGTTGCTGCACTGCACCCTGCTCGGTAAGGGTGAGCCTGTTCTAGACTTACTGCCCTACCTGTGTCACCAGGTCTATTCCCACCGTTACTGTGCGGGTGAGATAACAAGGTCAAGCGGGAAATAGGAAACAGCACAATACCTATGGCTTCTCATAGACTCGTCTAAAATAACAAGGAATACAGGAGAGAATTATGATTAGGAGCAAAGAAATGCAGATTAAGATTAAGATCTTTTAAGATCCCCCCCCCCCCAAATGGAAGCAATGGCCTTTTTATTAAATGCCAGTAAGAAACAGGCTGATTCAAGTATTTCCCTACTTACTACTTTCAACAGGAATAAGCTCTGCTTGGATAAAACAAAATCACATTATATATTTCCACATCACTCAGTAGCACAGGAAACTCTCTAAAAATAAGCAGAGACCTAAATAAATCATTTTAAGGAGGACAACAAAGCAAAAGCTAATCCTGAGCATGTCATTAACTGGAAATAAAAAGAAATAAAAAGAAAAAAGAAAAAAGATATAGCAAACTCATTTGAAAACAAGATGAAAAGCAAGATGTGAGCCTGGCAGAATGGAGAAAGAAAAAAGATACGGTAACGTAAGCAACTATATTATCTAGGTGGGGAAACAAGGGAACCAGCAACAGAAGAAAACCAACAAAAAAGTTAAGGGAGGTGTGCAGCTAGCCAGGACAGGCACACTGTTTGCATTAAATACAGTGAATATACAGGCTATTTTTCAAATGCTGCTTCAGAATTAATTCTCACTAAGATTCTCTTGAAACAGCGCAATAGTCGATTGAGAAGTAACAAGCTTTAAAACTAACGGTATTTCAACTCTGTAGTTGTACTGAAATTCGTGATTTTTGGCTTAGAAGGTTTATGTCTACTGACAGCATAAAGTGACAGCAACAGATGACAGGAGAAATGGTGAAGGACAAGTTGAGATGTACATCCAAGCCACCAAGCACGAGAGTTACCAGACAACTCATGTGGATGCCTGACAGAGCACCTGGGCACATTTACCTCTGGACGGATAGTTCGTGTGTCACTTACTCTACGAATGAAAAGGCAAATTTCAAACTTAAGGTTTCAAAATCCGTTCAAACCTATGCACGCTGTTGCTCGGGCAGTCTGTCTGGGGAAGACCGCGGAGGCCTTCGCGAGGGGAAGGCCTGTGGAACTGGGGTCCCCGACGGTGGCCGGCGTTATCGTACGTTTTCCTCAGGACAAACCTCTCGGTTGTGTTAGGATTCTTGATTTTCAGGTGCGACCAGTGGCAGGGAAGAGCAGATAAAGGAGAAAGGGCTGAAATTAAAATACTGAGCTTTTGTGGGGTTTTTGACTTTCTTTACCTGATGCCGCTGGAGATAAAAGGGTGAAAATATTTGTCACGACGGCCACAAGCCCCTGCCGTGCCAGAATACACCCCCCGGCTCCTCCCTGCTCCTTTCCCGCTCCCTCTCCGTCCTCCGCACCGCCACCCCGCCGGACACCCCCGGAGGGTCCTCCCCCCGCTCCCCTCACAGCCCGGGCTTCACCGCTGTACTTCCCCCTCCGCAGACGGGTCTCGGCCGCCTCCCCCGGGCAGCGTCCTGCTCTGTCACGACAGTAGAGGCGGCTTC